CGTTGTTTACAAGGCCACTAATTCAGTTCAGGTATCCAATACAGTGAAGGATGATCCAGTTCGTCATTTTAAGTTGAAATTCAAAAGGAACATAGAACAGATCTCTCATTATCCAGGATTTCCTCCTCGGTAAGTTTTGTGGCAGTATATGTTAAGTGCCAAATGTATTGTCAATACCTAACTCATTTATCAAGCAATTTATGTAATGTAATTTACACACACACACGTTGTTGATTTGGGATTCATCTACTCTATCTGCTGGGTCTTTTGCATATTTGTCATGGAGATAGGACAGGTACTTGGCAACATTTGGGTCTTTAAAGATCGACATATCATTGTATTCATAGACCCATTCAGTATTTTTATTTTAAATTGAAATCAATGACCTCACTACCTTAACCCAGACGGAAAGATTAAACCATTGTCGTTACTTCAAGCTATCCTTAACCGTGTTTTATTTCTAGAATTAACGGTTCCTAAATCTGTCGCTGAAATGGACTCAACAAATTATATTCAAATGTTTCCTTTGTGTGCTTAATTTCATTAAGTTTTAATTGGTTAATTTACTGATTTCTGCTCACTAATTGAGTTAATTTAAAAACTTACCATTAACTTTTGTAATTTTTATATGCCTTCACCGGGAATCGAACCCCTTCTTGACTTGTATTATGTATGACTTACATCAACACATTGACACAACCTCTCGGCTACCAATGGGTTGCAATCTAGATGTCTATTTTATATACATATCAATGTCCATATGATACACATCGGTACAACGGACACACAGGGCGTGTACCTTTATATATACATAGTAGACAATAGTAAAGTATAAATTGGTAGCCGCGAGCTTTAGATGAATGAGTTGTAGAGTCAAATTAGAAGTAGAGATTTTTCGGTTGAGTTTTAAATCTCAGTTTTCTCTTTGTTGTCGCTTTCCTTTAGTTTTTCCGTTTTTCTTATTTTGTATGTTAATATGGATATCTTTATAATACGCATTTTTCTTTCATTAATATTTAGGGCATGCACACGTGTATGGTTAGTTTAAACTATATGTTAGGAAGATTTTATGACAGCTGCTTTAAAAGAAGGACGAAAGATACCAGAGGGACAGTCAAACTCATAGATCGAAAACAAACTGACAACACCATGGCCAAAAATAAAAAGACAAACAGACAAATAATAGTACAGATGACACAACATAGAAAACTAAAGACTAAGCAACACAAACCCCACCAAAACTGGGGGTGATCTCAGGTGATCCGGAAGGGTAAGCAGATCATGCTCCACATGTGGCACCCGTCGTGTTGCTTATGTTATTACAAATCCGGTAAATAGTCTAATTGGGTAGGTCACATTCGTGAAAAGAAAAGGGTATTGTTGTGACGACATAAGGAACATATCTGATATCATCTGTGAAACGGTTATTCCATAACGGTCAACCAACTCGCGATGGCGTCCGTAAAATTTACGAAGGGATGATTTCAACTTCACCATTTGGAACTCTTGATTTAATAACTTCCTTGTGAGCAGCAATCCTCTATCAAGGAAATGATGATAGGAAATACAAGCCCGGGAATATCGTATCAATTGGGAGATATATACTCCGTATGCAGGCGCTGCTGGGATGTTGCTACATAGAAATGGAATGTTCACAATTGGGAAGCTGAAATCATCTCTTTTGTCGTAAAGTTTTGTTTTCAACCGACCCTCATTGTCAATTTCTAGATGTAAGTCAAGATATGAGGCAGACTAAACTGTATCTGTAGTATCCTTTTTCTCTAGTTCGATGGAATAGATTCGTTCAACATAGTCACCAAATTTTGTATTATTTAGTGAGAGAACATCATCTATATAGCGGAACTTTAAAGTAGTATCTAATAGCAGCTGTACTAACTGGACACTAAATATATAGAGACCATTTTTTAGAAGGACTTTCAATATATAAATTCACAGTATCACTGCTTCAATGGTACAGTTTTAGATTCTCTTTGAACTGACTCAAATATGATTGATAACTACAAATTTTAAAGATCATATAAATTTTGAGTACACTCCTTTCCTCTAAAAGAACTTTCTGATCACGACCCTGTACGTGATTTATATAGAGAACAAATGTCTTAGTATTTTCAAATGATTGTCATGTCATCTATTTTATTTAGATTTAATACATTTGGTTATTTTATTTCATATATCAGCAACGGAATTTAGTGAAATCTTTTTCGGCGTAAAACTTAGGTTAATTTCATATTCTACAGATGAGAGGTTCGAATATAATTTCTTTCAAAAATAACTTACTAAATAAATGCAAATACAAATACAGTAATTTAGTAGTGAACATACGTGCGTTAATTCAAAGACAGACGTGTTATGTTATATTTGTATTTCTCAAACTGATTAATTGTGAACTTTGAACTACTAAGTTGAATATGATAACATGATTATTTAAACTCTATTACAATACTTCTAATTAAGAAAAAGCTCTAATTTTGAAAAGACATCAGAACAATAATTTATGTTAGAGACACAATGGATAAGCGTTTATTCATGGAAAACAACCCATTCGCCCTCCCTCATAGTTTCTTTTTCCAGAAACAACGCTATCCATTGTATCTATAATACGTATCTACGTCTTCCTTTTAAGCCTGGAGCCTAGCATAATCCTCGATTAAATCCGTCAGTATTTTGAAGTTGTGTTTCCGATTGATGGATTTAGGCTCACGATATTTCGAGCCTTTTGATAACACAATACGTGTTTGTTATTGAAAATTCAAACCTTAGTCAAATATGTGAAACGTTAAATGTGCCTAAATAATAAAAGTGTCAATAAAAAATCAGCAAAAACTGTACATGCTGTATACATTCTACTCTGCCTAGGGAAATTTAAAAAAAAATTCTGATGCATACAAAGAATTTCTTAAAGATGTACAGATCTAACAATACTAAGTTGCATGTACTCTAAGAAGCTGACATGCCACTAACAGTAGTAGCATCTAGGAAGAAGTATCAACAATTTAACATACATATGTCGAAACGTAAGAATGTACACCTCTGAGTAGCCAAAAATTTCTAGAAATAAACATTTTTTCTTAACCTGATTTTTGGGTTTATATGACTGTAAGAAAGTAACTGAAGAAAAAATAATATGGCGGTGCACTTCTTTTTTGCTACAGCCATTTGAAAGTACCCATTTGTTATGATTTTCCCATTTTTCATCAATTTTTACCCATTTTTGGGCTATTATCATGAAAAAAATCACACAATTTCCCAATTAAACTTTTTTTCATACTTTCACTAAAGATGAAGTGGACCAATCTGAATAAATTTAACTTGAAAAATCTATAGGTAGGTGTTAATATAAGAAAGTTTTATAAAATGTTGTTGTTTTTGTGTGTCAAATTGACCATGCTGTCAATTTTGTTAATTTGGGATTTTTCTCATTTTTTTAGAACACAAAGCATATTATTTCAACTTCTTTGTTATAAATGATTGAAAAAATACATATCTAAGAATTTCGAATAGAAAAAATTGATATGGGATGTACATATCTTTGATAAAATCATTTCTTTGTACCCTCACCTATTTTCTCAACATTTTGGCTGATGACACTTACCAGATTGGTTATACAATTTGAAAATTTTATTACTCAAACTACTTATTGTAATTACACAATTTGTTCACAGACTTTAGTTTGACTATAATATATTTTATATTCATTGATAGTTTCCACTTGTATCACATGCTTTGGTAATAATTCCCGAACGAGATTTCAACGAGACTGAAACCTCAGAAGAATACATCCTTAAGATTAGACATTGCGAAAGACAGTTTTGTACTATACCAAAAGAGGTAAACACTAATTGATAATTAATAAAAACTATATTTTGATGAAAATATGTCAACAAAAGATCTCGACTTATTTCTCGCGATATTTTATTTTTTGTTTGGCATGTTCCGCCAATATTATTGACGTCTGAAAAAAAACCGCACTAGCCTTTGACGTCCTTTTTTTTTGGCTTTTGCTTTTGTACCGTATGCCTATAATCGAAAAAAAAAAACCAACAGTTTATTGAACAAAGCATTTAATGCAAAAATTTCTTGTTTTTAAAAGTTTAAACATTACTAAGAATTGAGTTACTGAAAGGCTGTTATAAATATTTCCGTTAATCTATTGGATAATATTCGGCAACTTCTATTGGCCAATGTATTTTTCGATGTTTCTGCACATCGAAATTTCTAATGTTGAGTTGAATCTCGTAAACGTGCAATTTTGATTTTTTTATATAATTATCTTGATGTATTTCGCAATACCTCACATTTATACCTGGATTTTGTTCTAATTCAGATATCAAGAATCTGACAAAGTCTTTAGAATTTTGCTTGCTGATGGCAATGATGCCAATGCGTGATATTATTTCGTTATGTTCAGTAACTTGCCTGACCTTATCGGATATTTTCTTCCTACAACCATTACATTTCCGATGGTCATATTGTTCTCGAGGGTCGCAAGTTTCAATAGTAAATTGGTACATTCGTTTGGTGTCCCAATAGTTTGGCCGCAGTTCGAAATTGTTTGCTACTTCCGCTTGAAGTTCCTTAAATTCCCTGCAACGGAGATATTCTTTTGCCTTTAAACTATTGTCAACTTCCCCCTTTGATCCTACTTCAATTGTGTATCTCCCTAAAACTTTTTTCTTCTTTTTGGCAATTTCAACACACAGTAGTTCATCTTCAGCCTTCACAATGACTTGCTCTTTTTTCCGAATAGGAAAGGCATTGCAAATTGTTTGTGTTTTAGTTATTATTGTTACATGAATTGCTTTTTTGTCAGCCACTGGGCTAAGTTTTAATTTTTCCTTAGGCAAAATTTTGGTAAAGCCGTTATCTTTTGCCCATTGCCATTCAGTTTCCATTTTGGTAGGTTCACATTTCCTTGCATCACAATCTTCATGTTTGATTCCAATACATTTACCTAGTGTCAGTTTCTGATTTCCAATAACCTTTACATATATAATTTCCTTTGTTTCATTTAAAATGAATACCATTGCTGCATCTGGCGGTTAGTTCTACTCACTGAAACAATGACTTTTGTATAAATGACAAAGCATAAGCAATATATCTGAAAATATTAGTTAATGATTTCGAAGCATATTTATTTCATAAATTAATTAACAAGAAATTTAATTATCGTAACATTTATGAATTATCATGAAAGTCCCTTCCATATTCTAAAAAAAAAAGAGAATAAACGCAGCCTTAACTTATTTTTAAATGGTATGGCCGTTTTTGTTATAGTTCCTGGGATTACTCGCATCAGTTAACAATGTTTCTTATATGCTGTTATATTATTTTAACTTGACTCTTTTTAATAAGAAATTTTAACTCGTTATATGCAGGTAACAATGAGCAGACCAAAAAATATAGTTTTCAACTCAACTCAGTTATGCTACAGTATTTGTTTTTTGGCAGTAATGTAAATAAAGACAATGTTTTTACTTCCAATTCACAACCACAAGAAAAGATGAAAGGAAGCTATGAATACCTGCATGTCACTCTACGGCCTATAAGTATAAAAAAAAGTTCGCATCGTAAATACCTCGTCATGACATAATATGGAACAATTCAAAAAAGAAACAAACGGTCTAAATTATACACTATCAATAAAAAAAGAAATAATTATAGCAGATAGCAACTAAAGACAATTATGTTACGTCGGAACAAGTGTGTAATCATTGAACTGTTATTATACATTTTCAAATTAGACGAAAGAGAAATTTCTGAATCCTCATTAGTAATCACAAAATAGCTTCATGTAAAAACATTTTCCTGACTAGTTGGACTCACATAATATATAGATATAAGAAGATGTGGTATGAGTGCCAATGATACAACTCTTCATCCAAGTCAAAATTTATGAAAGTAAACCATTATAAGTCAAAGTACGGTCTTCAACACGGAGCTATGGCTCCCACCGAACAGTAAGCTATAAAGGGCCCCAAAAATTACTAGTGTAAAACTATTCAAACGGGAAAACCAACATAAGCCATAGTTCCGATTTGTGGTAAAGTAATAAATAAAATCATAAAGTTGAAAGATAAAAAATATTAATTCATAAACAATTTAACCTGTCAAAGTCTAAAGAAGTCTACAAAACACAACACAAAAACCTGAATCTTTTGAATAATTCAACATAAAATATTATTCAGGATAAATACAAAATCGAACTTACCTATAATTGCTTACACCCAGTAATTTGGTATCAGGCGGATAGTTGTCTAACCAGAAATACAGCATATCTCCTTATTTTAATTCTAAACATGTGGTTGATAATATCTCAGACATGAATTTTACATGTGTGATGATTCCAATCATTTAAATTCTTTTAGTAATGGTATTATCAAACCTACCTTGTTTAATCGCCAACCTTCACGAATCAATATAATATTTAATATCTAAAATTAGCATTAAAGTAATGGATCTTTTGTTGGTAAATTGACGACATGCGATCAATTTTGATGGTTTTAAAAAGACTGATGTGCACTTATTGCTTGATTATCTGGTTACTTCGATTTTGTTGAAAGCCGCTGGAGGTGGTAAATTATGTAACTGTTTTGTTATACATTTAATTCAAAAGGTACTTGAAATTGCCATAGAAGTTATTGTTGAAGAATTGTATAAACTCTGTATGTATTGTATTTACACTGCAACTAGTTGTGTTTATTTCCTAAACATGGTAACAAAGCTATATTTTGTGCAATATCAATTTCATCATGGATCACTTTTTCCACAATCAGAGGTTCATTTAGGGATGAATATAAGTTTAAAATTTGTATTACAATTCAAATAGCTATCGGAGTATGAATTTAAGTTGAAGTATCAACACAATATTAGGTCAATGTCAGAAAAAATATAATCTTGTTTCTATTCGGCACAACACTGGGGAAGGGCTCGGTTAAACCTTGCTCTTCCCTGGTATCTCAGACTCGTAAAAAAATGTTTATATTTTTCTGACGTTGACCTAATATTGTATGTAAACTATGTATGTATTGCTGCAAAAAGAATATAGATTACTAGTAGTTTGATATCTAGATGATCGAAGCGATATGTATACGTGAATATAGATGCATGCAGACGTTGCCTGGGTTACCAAGGTCATATGTTGCAACACGGAAAATTAAAGCACTCGGTTAGTAATTTACCTTTAAGTTCGGTATTTTGTTAATAAATGTTTTCATATATGCTAGTCACAAGGTAGGAGCCTGTAATTCAGTGGCTGTCATGAGTTGCTTGCTTATATATTTGTTTTTCGTTTATTGTATGTACATACATGAGGCAATTGGTTTTTTTGTTTGAATTGTTTGGGCCTAATATAGGTTGTTCTGTGGTATGGCTTCTGCTCATGGTTGAATTAACAATCAACGATCTTTCTTGCATACAAATACATGTCAGTACTTAGTGTAAATCAATTATATTTCAAATAGAATGACAAGTACGTCATTTGGTTTGTCATGGATTGTCGTTTCATTCAAAATCATAAGAAGTGGCATATGGCTGATACCGAAATAGTGATCTACATAAGGAAACGCTTATCCTGTCAAAGAGAGGCGAAAGATACCAAAGGAACATTCAAACTCATAAGTCTAAAATAAACTGACAACGTCATGGCAAAAAAAAACAAACAAAAAGACAAACAACAGTATACAAAACACAAAATAGAAAACTTAAGGCTGAGCAACACCAAACATCCGGGGTGATCTTAGGTGCTCCAGGCAGACTTTACTCTATATGATGTTTCTTTCAATTTAAGCTTGATGGGATAGATGAGTACATATTAGTCTTGTCAGTCAAGAAACTGGGCATCTTGATAATGCCAGTTTCAGACTGTCTAGAATGTTTTGAATTTAATTGATAGAGTGTTAAAACTGTTAAAAATGTGCTGATGAAAAAAATTTCAGACAGTGTTCAGATTGTTAAGACACAAGGGTAAGAAAAATCAGAATAATTTAAGAACATTAATAGAGTATTTAGAAAGTTTGGGACCATTGATACTTTTCAGAATGTAACGACTTTGAGAATCTGGTGACTTTATAGTACTAGGACTTATGATTTCAAATATTTTATTATATGTCACACAATATTTAGCATTAAAAATTGATCGATATTTGCATTACGTTCTATGGACTAATTACTTTCAAATCGTTTATTCTATTTCATACAATATTAAGCATTTATTATACTTCACGTAAAAATGCCAGATTTTGATTGGCTAATACGAGAGAGATAATTTATTCCATCCCATGGATCAGCCGGAGATAATTTGTTCAATGTCGCCTTCTTGTGGAGACCAATCAAAAATCGATAATTTAAAGGACAATGAATTGAATTTACATCAATGAATTAAAGGCAAATTGAATGCTCAAATTCTACATTTTGGCCTCAAAACTTTTTTCATACACTGTCAAAATAAAAAAAAATATCTTGCTTCACTTGTGGATTTTCTAATAAATGTGTCGTTGTTATGTACTTGACTTCATAGTTAAGTACTTTCAATTCAAAATGTGGTAGTAAAAGTCAATAATAAGAGAACATTCAGTATAATGAATTATTTAACACATAGCTGAGAGGGTGATAGAGCAGATTGGTACCCCTCGAAAGAACTCAGTTGACAATGTTTTTCATGGTAACAATCTGTTCTATCACCTTCTCGGCTATGTGTTATTTATATATCAACAATTGATCGGTACTTGCTTCAAGTTCTGTGGCAAATATTTCGTTCATTTTGAGTTCAATTTATAGTTTCAAATGCGATTATGATTTACAAATGACTATTAATAAGAAATTAAAGAAGAATAAGCCTTATATAAAAAGGAAAATGAAAATCAATGTTTCTTTAGGAAAACTTATCAAACATACTCGACTTATAATTTGCGCGTTTCGTCTACATAACACGCATCGGTGGCGCTCGGACCTAAACACTAAAAGAGACCAGTTTCACATATTTGTTCAGGTTCCCACCTAATGACATGTTTTATAATGGCCTCTGGTTTTAACCTTTCGCTTTTGTTTTCGGCATATTTCTTGCATTATACCAAACTCAATTTCCAGAGATTGATTTTGTCGTTTAAGATTCCTCTTTTTGGTACATTGTGAATATATTTCTCCTGGAATATTCTTATTTCCCCTTTCAATGTGATAACTGTTTACTTTTACACTATTGTCAGTTTCTCTTTCAGGCTCTAGTTTAATAATGACTCTATATATCAATTTGTTCGACTTTGGGGCATTTTGAACAAACAACAATTCATCCACAATGCCATTGCGGTATGTTCGAATAGGAAGGGCTTCACAAGTAATAGGTTTGTGTGATTTAATTGTTACATAGAATGTTTTGTTGCCAACTACCGGTATAATCTCTTGAACATCTTTAGATGCAATTGCAGTAAAGCCTTTAACTTTTGCACATTGCCAATCAGTTTCCTTGTTGGCAGCAACGCCTATTCCCGCGGGTAGCTTTTACATATATGGTTTCATTCGAATCATTTTCTACCATTACCATAGCTAAAACTTTGGTTGATTTTACGCACTGAAAAGGACTTTTGAATGAATCACAAGACATAAACAGTGTACACTAATCTATAAAAAATTCTAAATTAAGATTACTATGGAATCAATATTATTCGTTGGCTACAAATTTTTCGTGGATTTCGGGGTTCTATTTTATTTTTGACTATCAAATCCCCAATTGAAATCAAATATAGTACTGTTTTTCCTAATTTTTTTTTAAATTGGCCATAAATACAAGGTGATGAGAAATATGCATTACATGAAACTCGCAAACGGCTCGAGTCTAAACAAATTTTGAAAAAGATTCAATTTCCAAAATTAACGTAGGTATATTTTTATTCTAAAATAGCGATACATGTTTTATCAATATTTCTCATCATAGTTTAAGCGTTCCTGTTGAAGATAAATCTAAAAAGGAGCTTCAAACGCATGAACTTTCAAATTTTAATGTCGTAAATGTGAGTATGCTTTCAATCAGTGAATCCTGATAAAAAATCGTTCAAAACACGGCTTATACTATCTAAATAGTGTTTTTAATAATTCATAACAAAATTTTTTTTATACAAAGTTAAACTTACTTCATACAGTGACCTTAGCTTTCCTACATACAATCCTGTGATCTTCGGTAAATAGTTGTATAATTGTCAATTGTATCACATATCCTTTTATTGATTTTGAACCCGTTTTAATGATATCTTAGACACAAGTTAAATATTTGTAAAGACTATAATTATCTAAATTCTTTTATTCTTAACCATTGGCCAGGAAAAATCAGACCCACCTAAATGAATTGATATAGACGTATTAAAAATTAACATGGCAATCAATGTTTTGAGAGTCTGGATGGAGTGTCCTATATATCTGTAATTTTTCTCTATTCTTTATATATTTTGTCAATTATGCTCTTTTCTTTATATTTGAGTACTCACAGATTATGTATTCTTTTTTATTGCGTATCTTTTTATATTCTTTATGTTTATGTCCTTTATCATTTTTATTTACACTTTTTGCCCACAACCCTCATGTTATTGATCTTATTTTCATTTCTGCAATTTGACAACATGCAATAAATTTTGAAGGTCTTTAAATGCTGCTATTTGTACTTAATATTGAATTAACTGGTTACAGTTTTATTACACAGTTACATTATACAAATAATTGAAATTGCCATCAATTGTGACAGTCTACTGTTATTCCTTGTTGGAACTTTCTTGTAATTGTAGGAGGGTCTCGATGGGGGTCCTTCATTTCTGTATTCTTTAATGTTTTTGACCATTTTTCTCTATTCTATATATTTGTTGCCCATTGTTTTCTATTCTTTATATTTTAGCACCTCATTATTATCTATTCATTTTATTTTAGCACCTCATTTTTCCCTATTCTTTATTTTTTTAGTCCATTTTTCTTTATTCTTTATAAATTTTGCCCATTATTCTCTATTCTGTAACCCCCCATCCACACCCTCTTGCAAGTATGATGTTGCTTACCTTTACCGTCATGTCCTCTTTCCCTGTGTGACCTACCGAATTAGACTATCACCAAGTGTGTACTTACATGATCAACACAACGGATGCCACACGTGGAGCGGGATATGCTGACCCTTCCGGAAAATCTGTTGCTCATATTTCAGTTTTCTATTTTGAGTTTTGTATACTGTTGTTTGTCTTTTGACCATTCTTTTTTCCCATGGGTTGGTCAGTTTGTGTTCGACTTATAAGTTTGAATATCACTTTTAATTTTTTTTCGTCTCTCCTTTACCCTGAAAATTGTCCGTGCTAGAATATGTTTCCCTTAACGTCCGTTGTAGTTAGACAACCTCGGGTGAAAATAACTTGCTGTTTACATTTAAACAAAATACAGGGTCAATAAAGACAATGTTTAAAAGAATGATTAACTACTGAAAACAATGATTTATTTTAGGGTGATACTTTTTTTCAAACTTATTTTGATGTTCATTGATTGGTATTCAAGTATCAGTAAGAATCAGCTATTCTATAATATAATACAATTTACTTAACAATTATATACATAGATGGGCTGGAATAATAGTTGTACGTAAAACTATACAAATAATTCCTTAAACAGTGAAATTTCATTTTTGACTGTCTAATCCCCAATTGACGGTGGCAACTCTTTAAATATAGTGCTATTATTCCCTTGTTATAATTGGTCATGAATACAAGGAGATGAGAAATATACATCACATTAAACTCGCAAACGGCTAGGGTCTTAACAAATTTTGAAAAGATTCAATTTCCAAATTTAACGTAGGTCTCTTTTTATTTCAAAGTAGCTATACATTTTTTTATTTTTATTTCTCATCATAATATGAGCGTTCCTGATGAAAGTGAATAAAAAAAAGTGCTTCAAACGCATTAACTTTAAAATTTCGATGTCGTAAATGTTAATATGCTTTTATTCAGTGAATCCTGATGAAAAACTGTTCAAAACATGGTTTATACTCTCTCAATAGTGTTTTGAATAATTCATTATAAAGGGTTTTTTTTTTACAAAGTTAAACTTACTTCATAGAAAAAAGCAACAGTAGTTTACCGCTGTTCAAAAGTCATAAATCGATTGAGAGAAAAATCCGGGTTACAAACTAAAACCGAGGGAAACACATCAACTATAAGAGGAAAACAACGGAACAACAGAAACACTGAAGTGCAACAAAAACAAACGTCAACGTACAGTGACCAATTACTTCCGAGTAATGTGCTCCTCCATAAATAGTTGTATTATTGCCAATCGTACCGTCTATCCTTGTTTTGATTTTAAACCTGTGTTAAATGATATCTTAGACACAAGTTGAATATTTGTGAATACTATAATTATTTAAATTCTTTTATTCTTAACCATTGGCCAGGAAAACTCAGACCCACCTAAATGAATTAGTATGTACTTATTAAGAATCAACATGGCAATGAATGTTTTGAGGGTCTGGAAGAGGTGTTCCTCATTTCCGTAAATGTTCTCTATTCTTTATACTAGAGCACTCACAGATTCTCATTTTTTTTTTTTTTTGCGTATCGTTTTCTATTCTTTATTTTTATGCCCTTTATTCTACACTTTTTGCCCATAACTCTCTTTTTTGTAAACCCCATTCAGACCCTCATGTCATTGTTCTCATTTGTTTTCCAAATTGACGACATGCAATAAATTTGTAAGGTCTTTAAACATGTTAAAGGCTGTTATTTGTACTTAATATTGAATTATCTGGTTATTTCGATTTTGTTGAACTCCGCGTTAGGTTGTTTATAATGTTTCAGTTTTATCACACTGTTACATTATACAAATAACTGAAATTGCCACCAATTGTGACAGTCTACATTTATTCCTCGAGGCAACTTTCTTGTAATTGTAGGAGGGTCTTGATGGGGGTCCTTCATTTCTGTATTCTTTAAGGTTTTAGACCATATTTCTCTATTCTATATATTTGTTGCCCATTGTTTTCTATTCTTTATATTTTAGCACCTCATTATTCTCTATTGATTATATTTTAGCACCTCATTTTTCCCTATTCTTCATTTTCTAGTCCATTTTTCTGTATTCTTTATAACTTTTGCCAATTATTCTCTATTCTGTTAACCCCATCCACACCCTCTTGCAGGTATGACGTTGCTTACCTTTACCGTCATGTCCTCTTCCTCCGTGTGACCTACCGAATTAGTCCTATCACCGAGTGTGTACTTACATGATAAACACAACGGGTGCCACACGTGGAGCAGGATATGCTGACCCTTCCGGAAAAACTAAGATCTACCTGGTTTTTATGGGGCTCGTGTTGCTCATATTTCAGTTTCCTATGTTGTGTTCTGTATACTATTGTTAATCTTTTGATCATTCTTTTTTTGCCATGGCTTTGTCAGTTTGTGTTCGACCTATGAGTTTGAATATCACTTTTGGTTTTTTTCGCGTCTCTTTTACCCTGAAAATTGTCCGTGCTAGAGTATGTTTCCCTTAACTTCCGTTGTAGTTAGACAACCTCGAATGAAAATAGCTTGCTGTTTACATTTAAACACAATACAGGGTCAATAAAGACAATGTTAAAAAGAACGATTAACTACTGAAAACAATGATTTAGTTTTGCGTGATGTTTTTTTTCAAACTTATTTTGATGTTCATCGATCGGTATTCAGGTATCAGTAAGAATCAGTAATTCTATAATATAATACAATTTACTAAACAATTAGATAAATAGATGGGCTGGGATAATAGTTGTACGTAAAACTATACAAATAATTCCTTAAACAGTGTTATATACCCAATTAGTTGAACCTCTAGAATGATTATATAAGTTTTTGTACATTACAACATATATTTTCCGTTATCTGTAGTTACTCAATACAAACAACATAAACATCTGATATGTAGAAAACTGTCTGATATATCAATTTATCTCATTAAACAAAAGCTCCGCGTTGCCAGTAAAATTGTATTTTTGACTGTCAAATCCCCAATTGACAATGGTAACTCTTCAAATACAGTACTGTTATTCCTTATTTCTAATTGGTCATGAATACAAGGAGATGAGAAATATACATCACCTAAAACTCGCAAACGGCTCAAGTCTTAACAAATTTTGAAAAGATTCAATTTCCAAAATTAACGTAGGTCTCTTTTTATTCTAAAGTAGCGATACATTTTTTTAATTTTTATTTCTCATCATAAATTGAG